TGCTCTGTTTTGTTTTCCTCAATTGGGCAAGACTTCCATTTTCTGAGGGAATACCTCTTTCCCTTGATAGCTTCTTTGACATTGCTTATTAACCATGCTGGTGAATTTTTAGACTTTCCTAATGTATGGTGTACATTCAGCTAAGCTAATGTTTTTGTGGTTTTGAGTTAAGTTCTAAGCATTTTGAGTGTTTTAATTCTCTTAATTCACTCTTTCAACTTCCTTTTTACCAGTTTCCTCATTTAAAGACATTTCTTCTTTTGAAATCAACTGTGCCTTTGTTGGACTTCCTTGGCCATTTAACACACACACACACACAACAAACACACATATAATCTGATTGTGCAGTGGTCAGTTTGCAACTGGTCCAGTGACATTTACATCTTGTACTAAATCCTGGCTGACACCATTTAAGATTTTATCTTCTCACCTCTCATCAGTTCCATGTGCAGCTGTTCTAGAGCATCGAGAAATGAAACCCTTTTTGTCATGATAAGAAAATGCATCTATCCAGTCAGTGTGGAAGTAGTTGACACACAATATTTTAATATTTTCTCCTCCCTGATTTTGTTTTCTATCTCAAGATTACTCTGAGCATTCCAGGCCAGGCAACAATAAGATATGCCTTCCACTAAATTAGTTTTGGAGCGTGATATGTCACCTACATCACTTCTGTGGAAAGTCTGGCCCTACAAGGTTTTCCAGTCTGCCCACTGATTCTTCTTTGATGTACAGAGCAATACCTTCTCCAGTATACCTTTCCTGGTCCTTCCTGTAGAGTTTTATCCAAAGATGAACATGCCCCATGCATTCTTTCCATTCTACCAGGTTTCTTTAATGCTCACTCGATCTAGGTTCTTTAAAACCAGACAGTCCAGCTCTCTAATTTTTGCTCAGAAGCTGCTAATATGTGCAAAGAGACACATCTCTGGTAAAGGACATTTTCCAGTAAAGCACTTAAGCCTCTCTAATTGGCTGTTACTTTTTACCATATACTTAGAGCCTTTTTTCTCCCCTTCTGCATCTGGGCAATTGAAAGCATTTGTATTCCCTAGGGATGATTTACCTTGAATCAGAAGCTTCCCAGCTTCTGTTGGCTTCTGGAATTTCGTTTAAAAGCTACCCTACCACCAAATTTAGGTTTAGTGCCAGCAGTTTAATTCCAACTTAGTTCAAATGCATCCTATTCTGGTACAGACCCAGCTTGTCTCAAATGTTGCCCAGTGCACAACAAATCTGAAACCTGCACCTCCCCCTACATTCCAGTTTTATCCAAGCATTGAGACATTTCAGCTTAACCTGTCTAGCTGGGCCTGTACGTGGAATCGGTAGCATTTCAGAGAAAGCCACCTTTGTGATCCAAGAATTCAGCCTTCTACCTAGCAACTTAAATTTGGCTTCCAGGTTGTCATGAATGCATTTCCACATAATGTTGGTACCAGTATGGACCATGGACACTTACTCCACCTGAACACTACCTGCAAAGTAATCTAGAAGGTGTGTGACACCCACATACTTCTTTTGGTTGACAGGCATGTCTACAGGCAAGAATGACACCAAGTGGAGAGTCTTCCCTCACCTCCTACACCTGATGTAAAAGAAAGCCTCCTAAGCCTTACACATGTGTTGACCAAATGGTCCATGTCCTGGTGTGCGTATGCCCAAAATACACAACAGGGGAAGGTTTTCTTTTAAAAGATTTATTCTCAAGAATAACTGGCTGCCAATTAATCATTCCAGATTGTGTGCCTGAGTAGTTCTCAGTTGGCCCTTTTATATGTTGGTCATTTAAAGTAGGGGTCCTCAAGCTTTTTCAATGGGGGGGGCCAGTTGAAAGGTGGCGACCCGGCATGGGCCGATGAAGAGGGGGAGCCTGGGTGTGCAGGCTGGTGAGGTATCGTCCAGCGTGCACCGCCGCGGCTCACTCTCTCGGAGATCTCCCAATGAGCCCAAAACCATCTCCGAGTGAGCAAGCCACCAGCTCCTGCCCGCACGGTGAGGCAGCAGCGTGCACGGGCAGTGGGCAGCGGCGCAGGCCGGATCCATCTCGCGGGCCATAGTTTGAGGACCCATGATTTAAAGAGTTACACATAACTCAGTTAACACTTTGTAATAGGTTATAGAAATAAAAAGTTACAATGATATGATCTTTCCTGCCAAAGCGGAAAGAAGATGCTCTGAAGGATGGGAGGAGAATGGGGTGTTATTCCAGGAAAGAGGAAGAAGATGGAATGGGTTGGTGTTAATTGCCCTTTGTTCAAGTTGCTGTTCTCTATCAGTTGTCAGCTAGCTGTCCCTGGAATGGTGCCTGTTTAGTGTCAGCTACATTTCAAGGATGCACATGTGCTAATTTCTGGAGGAAAATCTTTCTCTGGTCCAGCTGTATGTTAATATTTGCCTGATTATACCTGTGTAAGTTATCCCTATTGATGTGTACATCAAGTGAATACTTTAGTATAAAAATATGTGAATGTGTGTTCAACAATCAAGTGTAGCTAGAATTGTAGCTCTAGTGACATTTTAATTGCTAGCTTTATCATTTAACATTGAATAACTGTAACTATCCCACATAGAACATTGTCTGAAGACAGCGTTTTCCTGATATTGTACTTTGGAGTCTGAATATATGATTGTGCTTTTATTGGATGCCATACTCTGAAGCAGTAGAAGGTGTGTATTGTAGACTATGGGCTAGATGGCATGCATAGCATTTAATACACCTAATAAAATGATAAATGCTGTAATGAGTTAGTGAGAGTCTTCCTGAAGGTAAAGTAGTATGTGCATAGTCTGAGAAATACTTAATATATGTAATCATGAAAACAAAATCCCCCTCCATTTAACTAAAACTAGAGCTTCCTCCTCAGGAAACTCCCTCAAAGAAAATAAATTATATGCAGCATCAGTAAGAGGCTACAATGATGTTTTCAACCAAGTGATTATTACTGTTTGATTTTTCTGTTTGAATCTCAGTGTTCTCTTTTCCCTTCAGAATCTCAAGCTACTTAGTTGTTGAGTGAGGATACTTGTGTTCAGAACCGGCAATGCTTGTGCCAAAGAGGTTATTGCAAAGAGTACACATTAGCAAAAGACAGTTTGGAGTTTCTGCTATGTGGGGTTTTTTTGGAGTAGAGTGGTTGGCAGCTTACATTGTCCAGTTGACTTCTTCCTTCTAGCAAGAACTTTAAGATACTATACAAGTATTGTTGAATGAATCTGTGTTAAGTTGGGGAAGGAGAATTAGCACAGGTGCTGTAAGCAAGAGGTCAAACAGTCTGAATTGGTAATTAACATGGCAATTTTAGCAGTTTCTGCAACTGGTTTAGAGAACATAAATTAATCTGCTTGAAATCAGAGTTGACTTTAAAAGCATTTTTGATAAAATGTGAGATAGGCTGCTCTTCTGGTCTAGTTACTTTTGCAAAATAACCTCACTGCTTTATTGATGAATAGGGCACATCATAGCACAGCGCACAAGGTAGCTTCATTTCTGGCTTCTAAAGAAAGACTTGTACTCATGCAAGAATTGGCTTAATTGTGCGGGGGGGAATAGTTCAGGAGAGCTAAGTGTAATACGTCTAGGCTTGGATGGGCATGCTAGTTGGGGTAGACTGCCTCTTAATTCATTTACTAACCTTTATGCCCATCAAGTAGTCTTGGGGTGGGGCAGGGAGGAGGGCAGTTAAATAAAGAAACACAAAATCTGCGCTTAACTCATTAAAAGCAAAAGTCAGCAAATTCAACAAGCAAGCAAAACAATGGGTTTGATTTGAGAAGGTTCCCTCATCACTAAGCCATCCTGCAAACTAGCCACATGAAGTTGGCTGTTGTGCACACTGTGGGTTGTTCTTCTGCTTAGTTCTCAGCTGGCTCTGGTACATATCTCAATGTCCTTTGTGACAGAACCTAGCCTGTCTTTCCCTCCCCAGTCTGAGACCCTTTTTAATTCACTGTTTTGTTTGTTTCTCTCAGAGCCTAAAATAGAGCAATTGGGGTCTTTCTATTTTGTCGTTCAGATCATGAAAATTGCACAGAAAAAAATATATGGAGGATTGGTCCTTCTTAGATGCACATTGAAGTGTTCACTTAGAGCAGTCTTGCCTGCTTTAGCTGTTTTAGCTATCAAAGGCTAGACTGCATATAGCCTTGCCACCTTTAGCACAGCTAAAGAAAAAAATGGCAATCTTGATTTATTGATAGTTGTAAAGGAATTTAAATACAAATTATTGTCCATAATGCTCATATTTGCTTAAATATCTCTGTTTTTCATTTATAATTTTAGCGAAGTCAGAAGATCCTTCTGAAATGAGTCTGACAGTTGCCTTGTTAAAATGGGCTGTACTATTGGTAGTGTTTTATCCAGAAAGAATCAAGCTAAGCTTCCTTTTGCTGATAATATTTTTATAGGTAATCTGTGGCAAAGAATGGACCAGAATTGCTGTGGGTCAGTTTGCGGGGAGATTCTGTCCATTCTGGCTGCTTTTATTTTTGAGACCAGTGACCAAAATCTCTGTTGCTAATAACAACAGAGTCTAATTGCACAGTTGCAGCTGATCATCAACATAATAAAAAATGGATTTACTCGTGGCATCCAAGTTCTTTTCAATAATAAGATTATGCCAGGGAGAAATTTTGCAATGGTAAATATCAACTGTGAAGCTAAAAAAGCTAGTACTAAAAATGAGGGAAACTACTGGTGAATAATATTGTATCTCTAAAAAAAATACATTTCAAAATGCTGTTCACTTGAACTTTTATCAAGAAACGTTTTATATTTGTCCACTGTATCACCTCAAATACACTTCAGAGCAAACCGTACTGCTTTATTTCCTGTCATAATAGTTTCTTTGTGTTCAAGTGCAGTATGATTTGCAAGCATTTATTTCTAATCTGAGCCTGGTAGCTCTGTACACAATTCCCCTGGCAATTATGGCATTTGTTTGTATCTTTAGGTTGAATTTTGTTTGAATTTCTAGACTAGTATTTTATTTCATTTTCAGAAAAGAGCAGAAAGGAGACAGGCTGTTTTGCACAGGACAGAGTTTCCTTGGTGGCAGCAATAGGTGTGTACATCATGAGTCCAATGTGAGAGAGAAACCTGCACGTCCCATCTGAGCTTCGCCTCTCTCTATTAGGTTTATATACTGGCATGAATGAACTGAGTCATATCATATCCCATGCTCTGTTGTGGCAATGTGAGTGGAATGGCTGTCAATGTGCGGATAATTGCTTCTCTCTTATTAAAGTTGGTGGGAGGGAAATACTTTCCACCAGGTCTTGGACTGGTACAATTTCTGCCCTCAGCGTAGGCATAACTGTGCCACAACATGGAGATAAAGTATGCCCTTGAAGTTAACTACTACTTCTTTCTCTTACCCTCAGGTAGTCCTCTGGCACCCTACAAATTACTATGAGTCTACTACATAGTAACACCAGCTTTGAAAATAGCAATCAGGAGAGTGGCTGTTGTGCCGCAATGGCCAGTGCTTGCAGCGCTGGAGCCAAAGAAGAGAGCATCAATGCCACGGTCAGCAATGGCACTGGTGGAACACTTTCGAACTCTTTCATGGAGGAAACCCAGGGCTATGATGTGGAGTTTGACCCACCACTGGAAAGTAAATATGAGTGCCCCATCTGTTTAATGGCTCTGCGGGAAGCAGTACAGACCCCATGCGGACACCGTTTCTGCAAAGCTTGCATTGTCAAATCAATAAGGTAAAGGATGGTTGATCAAAAAACTTACAAAAGATGGCATAGTTCACTATACTAAAGGATATTAACTGCAACTAAGAACAAATCATGGTAACCACAGTTGTACTAATGCAAAGATATCCGAGATACTGGGTTGATGATTATGTGTACTTTCTAGCAGTGACCAAAATAACTGATGTTGTAACCTAGTTCCAACCTATAAGTTGATCTGTTGTTTCTAAGCATACTACAAATACCATCTGGAGCACAGCAAAAATACTGCATTTTCAAGGAGAAAGAAACTGCCAGTAAGCTTATGATTTCAAGAGGAACTTCCCATGTAATTAAGGTCTCTGAATTGATTGATTGGGCTGTTCAGGTGGCAATGAGATAATGCCCAGTTTCACATGACATGGTGTAATTCACTGTGGGTAATTTAACTTTCAAAAAGCCTGGTGTCCACAGTCACCACCCTATCCAAAAGATTAATTTATCAGTGTTTAAATAAGGAACTAGATTTTTTTTTTAATCTGGAATTCTGAAGTGCCTACAGCTCACATAACATATTGAGTACTGCTGCTAACTTTTCCTTAAGGTGATGCCAGTGTGGTTTTGTTTTGTTTTATTGTTTTTTTACATGGCCAGAATTTGATAATAGCAAAACCAGAGGGCCAGATTTGCCTGATAGTAGCAAGCTAAAGTGGTAGAATTATTTGGGCTCAGTCCATTATGCACATTTTTAATTACTATTAAATAGATACATAGCCCACCTCTCAGGTTAAAGGACCTCACAAAGCAAGTTGTGAATGCAGGTCTGGCACAATATCCAAAGCTTTCATGGCATATCAAGCACTATAGTGCTGAAAAGAGATAAAGTTGCTTTTGCAAGGAATTGGAATAGTCAGCCAGAAAACAACTTCTGCTTGTTACGAATATTGTTCATTTGACTTAATTATGGAAAGATTATCTCACACACACAACAAGCAACCCTGAATGATGGCCACTCTTCACTACTTTTGCATGAATGTTCCTGACAGTCAGGCTCATCACAATAAATTTCTCACTTCCACTTCTTCCTTCTCAGCCTTCCAGGTGTCTCCCAGGAGGCACTCCTGGCAGAAATGGGGCTCCTCTCTTTGACAGCCATGGTCATAAGTGGAGTTCTGCTTGCCATGGCTGTTGGGCCACTGATCAGGCACCCTCCCTTCCTATTACCATGTAAATGTCAAATGTAATTTTAAATCAAAAGTGTACTTTTTGTTCCTGGAAGTTAGGTTGCTATTAGAATTGTGGTTCAACAGCTACTTACAGATTTTGCAGGCTCTGAGATTTCTTTTCAACTGTTTTATTTTTCCACTTGAGCAGTGGGCTCCTGAGTCATAGTTTTTATTCCATTAAAAAAGGAAAACTTAAAAACAGTTCCTCTTGAGGTTCAAAACTGATAAAGCTGTAGACAGATGTTCACTGATTGAATCTTCAATGTAAGGTTTTTTTCCCCCTTTCAACTGAAAAACAATATTTCATCTGATCCAAATGTACTTATAACTTGAGAAGACTAAAGCCTAAATGCAGTGGTGGCTAGTTGCCTATCTAACTAGTAGATGGAAAGGCAGGCAGCAGAGGTGGAGCCAATGAGTCATGCAGACAGGCCAACATTTTTAAGATATAAAAGTGAGCTGGCCTGCCACCACAGAGATTTTTTTTAAAAGGTAACATAAACCGTGAAATGATTTCTCTCTTAGACTCAGACTAACACATGCATTATAAACCAGTTTATGATTTTTCCAGATACCCAAATTAATTCTGTATTGCATTAAACCATTTTACTTGCTGAAACTGAGCCAGGCTTGCTTCTGGAAAGATACAAAAATAGCAAGCAAGCTACAGCCTTTCTCTCTGCTCACTCTTCTGTCTCTATTTTCCAAATATTTCATTGGTTGGCTTGCCTCAGGCAATAAGCCAGACAGAAGCACTTTCAAGGAGTCTGTCCCATCACCCAAGGAAGGGGTCTAGTCTGATGGACCAGTTCAAGCTAAACATCTGACCTGAGTCATTTAAAAAACAATGACTGTTGATCAGAGGTTCAGGCTCCATCCTGCTGGCTCTGTGGGAAAAAAGTGTGCACATGCACAGTTCAAAATAGGAAGCTGCTCCACTGGGAAGGGAAGCTCCCAGTGTGGCTGCAACAAGAGGACAGTGCCCAGCCAATACAGAGAGAAGCCAGCTACAGCTTAGCCATATTGGGAGTGTGGGGGGAGTAGGCTGGAGTGGTGGCAGGGCAGTGCATCTCCAACCTATGAAAGGATCCACCCCCACCAAAACATAAAGCTTTTAAAAGTGATTTTTGTCAGCTTAATTGATTAGCATCCAATATAGCAATAGTTTTGGAATCAGGATATCCAATGGTATATCCATGCCCAGATTCTTCTTTCTCCATCAGCTCTGACTTTAGGTGCTGTTAACCTACAGCACAATCTGTTTCAGTTGTGGAAAGGAATAATGAAAAAATGATTGGTGGAGATGGGTAGAGGGGAGGAACATCATGTCCGCAAGAGAACTTTCTCCTATTTGGAATTCCAAATGCTGTTTATGACACTTTATATTGTCTCAGCACCCTGTTTGCAAGTTGTACCATGTTTAGTATATATAATTCAACTTGGCCGTAAGTGCCTTCCGTGGGTTGCACACAGAGAACTGTAAGCAGAACTTTACTGATGCACTAATCTGATGCCACCGCCATTCCTGGTCCTCTCTTGAAAAGAGTGTGATGGACAAGGGGAGCTGCAGCTAAACAGAACATTGGCAGAGTTTAGAAAGCTGCCCAGGTGAGCAAAAATGCCTTCCTGGTCATACAGGGCACCTGTAAAAGCATCCAAGTTTATGACAACTGCAAGTAGAATTTATGCTAAAAAATACATGTTTCTTTTTGACAGAGATGCTGGACATAAATGTCCAATAGACAATGCAATTTTACTAGAAAAGCAACTCTTTCCTGACAACTTTGCAAAACGGGAAATCCTCTCACTGACAGTGAAATGTCCGAATAAGGGCTGTAATCAGAAGATGGAACTACGGCATTTAGAGGTGAGCATTTTAAGATTTTTTTTCCCAGAATTGCAGACCAGCAAAGCTAAGACCCTGTGCAAGATTTTTAAACAGACATAAGCAAATATCCCATGCACACTCCCTACTTTGGGATCGTAGTCATGATAATTACTAATGGCCTTGCATTGGATCAAATCTGTAGTAACTTCAGAAGGGAGTTTGAGGAATTTCATAGGTTGTGTCCCTTTTGTATTGCAGAGTTTGTGCTTTAACTGTTGCATAAATTACTGATTCATTGCAATTACATTTGTTTTTATAAAGTCATTTTCTTTTACTATAAACTAAGCAGATCTGTGGGACACTCCAGATGTGACAATAATGCTAAAGCACTTCCACTGAAAAAGCGCTGTGAAAACTACAAGTAACCATAGTTCGTATTAATACAAAGAAACTCCTATGTATTACCATCATAGGCATATGTTTCCATATAAGGCATCTGTGACGTGGCCTTTAGATTTGAGAGTGATGGACAAATCCTGGATACCCAGACTTTTTAAATTGTTCCCTCAAAGAAGAAACAGTGTGATGTTTCAAGTTCTGTAGTAATGGTAATTTCTGGCTAATTTAATATTTAAGAATTTTGAACTTCTTTAACCTCTAAAGAATGTAATCTGTAGTGTCAAGCCAACATATTCTACAGCCCAAGGGGAAGCAAAAAATGACCCATAAATTTGAACTCAAAAGCTCATAGTACCAGAGTTGGTCAAATTTTAGGCCCTGAGGCAGAAAGCCCTGCAAGTGCCTCTCCCCTCACAACCCAGCAGCATGAATACATTAGTAATAAGAGTGAGTGTGGTGTGCTGGATAAAGTGCTGGACTTGGGACCCAGGAAATCTGGGCTCTGGTTCCCATTCATCCATGAGGCCCAGCCACTTGAAGTAGTCACCCTTCACTGAAAAATAAGAGTCTTCAGAGGCTAATGCAGTGGTACAAAAAATTACAGGTGTGCTGCCAGCCTCCTTGCCCACTTATTCTTAGTAGAGTATGGCTTAGTCACCTGAAGTGGCAGGAGCTTCCAAGTCTGTTCACCCACAGATGATTGTTCTGCTTGTCAGTGTTTTCACCAGCAAAGCTGCCGGAGAAATTGACCTGTACCAAAGCAAGAAAGTCACCTACAGCAAATGTGCTGCCATTGACTTCAATGTGCATTTCCATCTGCAAAAAGTCCATTTGTTTAATTTATTTATCAAGTTCATACTTGAACATAGAAACATAGAAACAGAACAAGTCAGAAGGGGTCTCCCGGGCCATCTAGTCTGACCTCCGGCACCAGCCGGCTCCATTCACGACATGCCCACCATGTGCACATCCAGCCTATCCTTGAACACCCACACCAATGGGGTCTCAGCGACCTCTCGTGGAAGCCCATTCCACACCCTCGGGGTCCTGACTGTTAGAAAGTACTTCCTGGCATCCAAATGGAACCTTGGCTCCCTGAGCTTTGCTCCGTTGGAGCGCGTCCTGCCTTCCTCTGCAGGAGAGAACAGGTCTCTACCCATCTCCATGTGACATCCCCTCACATACCTATATGTCGCCAACATATCCCCTCTGAGTCTCCTCCAGGCTGAAGAGACCCAGTTCCCTCAGTCTCACCTCATACCCCATCCCCTGCAAACTGGCCACCAACCTTGTTGTGTTGTTGTGCTTCTGATACCTCTTTCTGTTGCTCTTCCTCTTCAGGAGCATCAGCTGCATTGTGGCTTTGCCTCAGAGAAATGTCACCAGTGCCAAGGAATTTTCCAGAAGAATCAGCTACAAGAGCACATGAAGTTAGAATGTCCTCGGCGACAAGTATCTTGTCCAAACTGTGCTATGTGTGTCCCTTATGAAGAAAAAGAGGTGTTTATTTTTAATATAAACGTTTTTATTTCATTTTTGTTCTAATGTACATAAAGATTTTAACATATAACCAAAATATCAGTAGTACGCTACCCTTGCAATTTGTCTTGCATTGTTCACTAGATGTGCTATTACAGGACAGTCCAACATTTTGTATCTTGAGAGCTGCATGACACGGAACCCAGGGACCGCACAATGAATTATGTTTTCATATTGTAGCCTCTGGGTGTATCCACCCTTTTCTTCCCTGTTTCTCTCACCCAGAAACCCTCCTGGCCCCTCCTTCCTTGAAATTGGTGCGCTGAGCCTTTTGTACTTGAGCTGAAAACTCTTCCCAGCATTCCCCACCCTCTCCTGCTGACAAGCACAGAGGTGCTCAGGAAAGGAGTGGGACAGGCTAGTGGCCTCAAAAGAGTTCACTGCAATCATGCCTGTGCCATCTCTGGTATTTCGACTGGGGGAGGAATGGGGGGCTCTGAGCAGCAAGAGGCTCACAGAACAAGGCCTCGGGCCACATATGGCCCACATGCCACGTGTTGCACCACGTGGTGAGATATGTAGAAATACGACTATCTTGTTTCATTTTCAAATCTTCCTAGCTATTATTGCATTCCTGAAATAGGACAGTCTAATAAATGCTAGTCAGTGGAGACTGTATTAACAAATGTTAAGAAGCCACATTTCCATGAACCATTTCTTTTTAATTGTTCCTCTGTTTAATCTATTTATGCTGTATTAAATTTTCGTTTAACGCTACTGTCCAAATTTTGGAAAAGCACCTCTAAAAGCAGCGAATTAGGTCAGTATGCAGTAACTATTTGTATGTCAAAAATAGATTAAAGTGCCAACAGTGATACGTTGTTATTGTTAACACATCCACTACATGTGGAACAAAATGCCAGTAACTTGGCAAATCTTCCAAAAGTATGGTAAACAATCTTTTTGATGTGATTTAATTTTGTCAGTGTTGTATACCCCTTGTATATGGAGAGCTCTAATTGTAACAGAAACAGATTTGGGTATTGGCTACACATTGTGTCCCCTCATTTTCTGTGATCTGAGCCCCAGTTTCTGCTCCCTGTTTGCCCAATATGCCCTTCCTATGCCATTTTAAATCTTTCTTTTGTTTCATTTTGAGGTACAGTAAGCCAACTGTATATACACAAGGCATTGGCATTTGTTTTATGGGTCAAGATATTTGCCTTCAGAGATCATTAGGAACTTGATTGCCTTATTCTTGAGATTGTACTAGAAGTATAAGAAGCTATTTTGCTCCACCATCTTGTAATTTATTACTACTACTACTATTATTAAGCTTATAAAACATACAGTTCTATATAAACCTGTCAAAATAGACAAGTTTGCTTATCTTTTTAATGAAGAGTTGATAATTTTTGCTTTATTTAGAAGTCAATTTCTTCTCTGATAAAACATGGTCTCAGTATTTACATAATAACAGGGATTTGATCAACATTCTTCAAAGACCTGGATGTTGACATACATGCATACACACATATCCCCTAAATTCTTTATTTTGCTTTTTAAGTCTCCCAACTCTGCCATTCAAGTACTTCTTTTTCTTAGCTTAAATTGTGGCTCACCTCTGAACTTCAAGTCTTTTTCTTAAAATTCTCAACTTCCATTTTTGTCATGGATTTTGTCTGAAGATTCCAACTGGTGGTGTACTGGCCACTTTTAATCGAAGTGTAATAAAAGTTAGGATTCTTACTTAGTTTCATTGGTAAGAAAAATATTTTTGAAGTTTTGCAGATAACAGTGCATTTGTAAGTTACCTTTCTTTTGGGCTTTTCTTGTGCCACATCCCTTCCTCTCTCCTCCAGTTTAACCTGAGAACACAAAGTACATACTATGAAGTCCTTACTGGTTGTTAAAAACATTATAGATAAGAGCCATCATGAGGACAGAAAGTTATATGGCAAGAAACACTTCTGGACCACTGCTTAGTAGACAAGAATATAAGTAGCTGTCTTTGATTTAATTTTGCTGTTATGCTGAATAAGTGTTTTGATTATTTCATAACATTTGTCTTAACATAATATTTCTAAACAACAGATGACTTAATAACATTAAGTCAAATTTAACTTAAGATACAGTGTTCTGGACAAAATGTGCACTTCATGTATTTTATTGCATTTTTGTGAAAAGGATTCAGAATTATAGCTTCATACCTACTGTCATTGGTTTTAATATTCTTTTTTAGCACAAAAATGGGATTTGAGAAAGAACTTCATTCTAGGTGGTACTACGTTAAGAATATTTATGATTTATCCCTCTTTCACTTAAATTAATTTTAATTTACTTCTGTGTTTTCACATAAATGAAGGTTCACGATGAGATATGCCTTTTGGCAAATGTCTCCTGTGAATACTGTAATACAGTGCTAATCAGAGAACAGGTAAGAGATTCTTTCTTGTTTTTTCTCTTCTGATCCACAGACCAGCCTGATAGCAATGTAGTTTTGCTAATTTATATGTATGTTATTTTGTATAGGAGTGTGAATGGAATATTAGGTAGACATATGCAGCAGTGAAAAATCTTGTAACACTGGCTAAGCAAGGATTTTCTTACTTAAGGACTTGGTTGGCCCTGATGTTACTGCAAGATTCTAAACAGACCTCAAAAGATTTTATGTGTTTGCAAGTCCACTTGTGTTGCCTGAAAACCTTACCTCTCAAATCTGTCCACACACTTAGCTTCTTCAGTGTCCCTACCTTGTGAGATTTAGTAGGTTGTAAACAAGGAAAGGGACTTATTTGATCATCACAAACTGGCCTGGAATGCTAACCCAAAATTTACCTGGGGATGACTTTTGGGTCTTTTTGGCACCCAACTAACAATTCCAGCCCAAGATTGCAGCCTGAAGCAGAGCCAAATAATGCCTGTCTATGTCTCCCCTTAGGGTAACATTTGCAGGGGGAAAACCTTGTTTAATCTTTCAGATACTATTTCCTGCCTCCATCATTACCTTCACAAAGTGCCATCTAAAACAGATCCCTTTATCCTGCTGCATGCAGAGTAAGTCCTGCTGACCAAGACTATTACCTTAACATGGACTAAATAGTCTGCCAGCCTGGTGCTTCTATTATTTCTAAACTCATATCATGCTTAAATTGTGTTAATATATTGGTTTTATTGTTTAATTGTTGTCATTTGTGAACCCTTGTAAGAGTAGAAATACTGATGGGCAGGGAGTACTTTGTGAAACAATAAAATAGAGGATGCCTGTACAGGGAGTTGCCAGTAGCTTACAAAACTAATTATATTATGCTGTACTAAGACATAGATGCCCAGAACATTGCTATTTTCAAATTTAATTTTTGATGTAAATTGTAGGATTTTTACAGTGCAGGACTGTGTGTATCTGCTCAAAAAAAGTTCCTGTTGATTTTAAGTGAGGCTTTCTCTACCATAAGTGGTTACAAGAGTGCCTCCATAAAGGTATTTTCTATTGTGCTATATTGTTTCCTGCCTGTATAGCTTCAGCTGAAAAGCATCATAGACTTTTTTTTAAATAACCTGATAGTATTTGTTGTAAATTAGCAAATAGCTTTCTCAACATGCAGCTTTGTATTCCAAACAGTTTTTCTAATTTATAATTAGACAACTTCTGTTGTAGTATGAGTAGTATAAATCTAAGAATTAGTAGTTGATGCCCCACATTTTATTCTTAAGTATAAGGCATTGATTGCTAATTCTTAGAATTTTTACTCTATGTACCCTAAACTGCAAAGTACAGAATTTAAGAAATCTTTTTCCCCCCTTTAGCTGCCTAATCACTATGATAACGATTGCCCTACTGCTCCAGTACCATGTACTTACAGCGACTTTGGATGTCCAGAAAAAGTAAGTTACAGCACAGTCCCATATGTGTTTGCGCAGTTGTAAGGCTCATTGACTTCAGCGGGGTACACTGTCAGTTCAGTCACTATAGGTTCGCACCCTTAAAGTGCCATGCGAGATCCGACCAAAATCCTATCCAGCCCAGCATTCTGTTCCCACAGAGGCCAGCCAGATTCCTCTGGGAAGCCTAAAATCAGGACACAAGTCCAACAGCACCCCCTGCTCTCGTTCCCCAGGCACTGGCATTAAGAGGCATATTATCTCTGACGCTAGTGGTAGTGCATGGCAATCATGACCAGTAACTATTGGTAGACTTGTCTTCCATGATTTATTTCATTAACTGTAATACTCAGTTGTGTTTGAACTGGGAAACTTAACAGCTTCAGACAAGCTAGTATACGAAACAACTTGAATTTGTGGTTTAATAGTCTGGCTTGTTCCAAAGCTGTTAACCATAGGATTGTATGCTTTGCACTAATGGAAATTGGTTTTGCTTGCAGAAATCAGGGCACCAGAATTTCTCCATTACCTATTGTAGCCTTCCACACTACATCCCATACTGTTCGAGGTGTTTTTTCCTCCTTATTGCAGACAACCAAAAAATTCTGATCCTGACTATAAGAATTCTGTTAGGGGTGGGCAAGTCAAATGTGCTGCAGCCCTGATGACCAGTACGCAGCTCCCGACAGGTCTAGGTCAAAGATGAGTTCATGCCACCTGATATCATTTGTTTCTTGGTTCATGTACCAGGTGGGTGCATTAACTGGGAACCAGCTTCAGCTTCTCATTTTAGAATGTAGGTTAGTCAAAAATGAGCTGTCTGAGCATCTCCATTGGCACTCCGTTCATGCCCAGCCCTGCTCCACTCATCAGGAGGTCTTGCAGATTACAGAGAGCTGTGAAGCACCCAGGTAGTATCCAGGAGAATCCACTTGTTCTGGAGTTGAAGGAATTTGTTTTCCCAGGATACCAAAGACTTGGTGGCCTGCAGGCCAGGGAGCAGGGCTTGGCATGCTTGGATGCCAGCAGGAGCAGCCTAAACCTCCATGGGCTGGATTAAGGCCAGTAGTTCCCTACCCTAAACACAGAAGTCCCCCCCCCCATTTAAAAAAAATCAACATACTGGCAATTTGCCAACTTGATGTTTTTTCTCTGGTATTATGAGACTTGGCATAATTGCACAAAATAAACAGTGATGTAATTCTGCTGGAAAGTATGGAAGATTAATTGGCTTATGGTTGTTGTGCATTACCTAAGATACTGAACCAAATCCTTGATCACTGAAAAGTCCCTGTAGATTCCTGCAGGGTTTCTTCTTCAGTAGTTGGAATATAGTGCTTAAACTTTATATTTTCATTTTATTCTTGACAACCTGATGAATCAAAACTGTAATAATTGTAAGGCTGTCACTATTCTGTGGCATAGTTTTTCTTGGAGGAGTCTGTGACAGATTTTTGATAGTTACGTGAACTAGACAGCCCATCAAAAAGAGCAACATGCAGCCTCTAGCCCATAAATTCATTTTTTAAATGTGTTTTGAAAACAAAAGAAGTTGGCCTCTGTTGGAGCTACAGGTATCAACAGGATCAAAGTTAGCTTGCAAGCAAGCTAATTTTGTGCCCACTTGGATGAAAATTGCTACTATGGATCCCATATTGTAATATTTTTAAATTGGCAGCAGGGACTTGTGGGCCACCATTCCCAAAGTTAGCCACCACTGAAATAAAAGATACCTTCAGATGGAGGATTGCCTTTGCAAATAGGATTCATGTGCTCCCCCATTCCCAGCATGTATGAAGTGTGCTATTTAAAAATAAGGGAAAGCAGTGTCTTGAAGTTAGCTGCTGATTTTAAGCCAAAAGGCACACTGGCCAGAGTCTTCTCTGCTGAGATGTATTGCATTTCTGCTTTAATCATAGCAATTGCTTCTACAATTAACAGATGCACATATCTAGCAAATCTGTTCCTTTTTTGTTTGCCAGTGTTTCTCTTCTTTTGGTGATGCAAAAGCTATCACCCCAGCCAAAAGCAGCAGGAGATTTTCTGGCTAGCCTCATGTAAGAAACTGAAAGGTGTGGCAATGAGATGTACTCCTGCTGGTGGCTTCTCTCTGCTCAGCCAGCGAAGTCAGCCTCTGACTCTTGACATGGGATACTAGGAAGGGTTTGATGGTGCATTAATGTTGATAATAGTGCTTTCTCATACAAGGAGTTTCTCTGCATTTTGTCATGCCAGAAAAATAATGTAATTGGCTCTAGAAATCCATATTCTGTATTTCAGATAAATTTTGCAAATCTCATATTCTATAATAATTTGAAAATGAGCAGTGTACAGTTTTTAGGATGATTAGGCATGTTCATGCAATGCTTGTTAAATTACAAGTAGGTACAGCAGTTCAAGTCTGTCTTAATAAACTCCAGTATTCAATAGAGTTATGTAAGAATGGAAATAAAACTGATCAATAAAGAGTTCTTCATAGGTAGGCAACTTCTTAAAAAGTTTGTTCTGCACAGGTTTTTTTCTTTCTCAATTGAGAGCTTTCCCTCTAAGTTAATGTGAGGTTAATTTGCAAGGAGCAGCTTAGTCAGTTTAAGAATGGCCATGTAGAGAAGAAAGAACATGACTGGAGACTGGACAGAGGACCAGTCTTTTCTTCCTTCAAGTCAGATAAATTTTGCTTCTGGATTGTGTGTTTTCTAATCTGTTTCCACAACCATGTATTCTAAAAAATTGTTCTTAGTAAGTGAACGTCCTTGTGAATTCTGGATTTTTCCAAGCACAGAGTTAGAAAACAATTCCAAAAACTATATTATGCAAAATTATACAGGTCAAAATACAGCACAATGTTTGTATCAGTGATAATATATTTGCTGAATGTCTATACATTTATATTTGGGAGATTTTCTTAGACCTACTTCCCTGGGAAAGACCTTTGAACTACACTTTCTCACCTATACAGTAGTACCATGTTAATTCTGCTCAATTCCTGTAGAGCATTGGCCAGTGCTCCTTTTCAGTGCAGCATTTTCCCTTCTTCATTAAGTCTCAACACTCACTTTTAGTCAGTGTAAAATCTATGAAGCTCTGTATGTTTTTTTTTTTTAATTGTAGATGCAGAGAAATGAATTGGCACGTCATATGCAAGAGTTCACTCAGGTTCATATGAGAATGATGGCTCAGAGTCTCCGACACATCAGTGTTACTACCCCAACTTCCATGAATTTCCCTGGTGGTTTACCCTTTGACCCATCACTTTTTTCTCAAGGTTTGCCACCCTCATGTGAATGTAGCCCCGAAGTCCAGAACTTCAAGGAAACCATTCAACAATTGGAAGGCCGCTTGGTAAGACAAGATCACCAGATTCGAGAACTCATTGCAAAGATGGAAACACAAAATTCCCAAATGGGGGAACTCAAACGTACAATCCGAAATCTAGAGGACCAGATTGCTGAAATAGAAGCACAGGAGTGTAATGGCATTTTTATATGGAAGATTACAAATTTCAATGCTTATCTCAAGGCCCAAGAAGAAGAAAAACCTGTTGTGATCCACAGCCCAGGTTTCTATACTGGAAGACCTGGTTACAAACTTTGTATGCGCCTGCACATCCAGTTACCAAATGCTCAGCGCTGTGCTAACTATATTTCTCTTTTCGTTCACACTATGCAAGGAAATTACGACAGTCTCCTGCCTTGGCCTTTCCAAGGCACCATAAGGCTTTCTATCCTGGATCAGACAGACGGACCTTCAAGGCATAACCATGAAGAAGTGATGGATACCAAGCCTGAGTTATCAGCCTTCCAGCGTCCAACTGCCCCTCGCAACCCAAAAGGTTTTGGATACGTGACTTTTATGCAGCTGCAAGCACTAAAACAAAGAACGTATGTAAAAGAGGACACTCTCCTGGTTCGTTGTGAAGCTTTAACACGTTTAGACTTAAACAGTATTCGAAGAGAGGGTTTTCAGCCTCGTAGCACAGATGGGACTGCATAGTCCACCAGTTGAGCATTTGTTGTTTCATTGTGTGAAAACTTCTGAAATGAATAAAGGGTTGATGAGAATTGTAAATCTCTGGAACAAAGATAAAACTGCCATTCAGAGAAGGTGGCACGTTGATTCAGGGAATAGAAAGTGTTTTGTGTTACTATTTATGGCATAAAGGAATTAGATTGTGCACTCAGTTCTTATCATGTAAGCTAAATGACTATTTCAGATGGTGATATACTTGTTTTGTTTTTCAAGAGCATGCAGTAGAGCAGTACCATTTCTAGTATAGAAGCTGGGTCAAATTCTACTTGCATTTATTGGTAAGAAGAGCTACAATGTTTAACTCCCATTATCTTGGTATCGGCATCTCAGAGAAACTGAGTTAATTGAATACATAACCTAGTGGGTTAGTGGGGGCTTTCAGACGAGATTAAATTTTGAGCCATGATAATATACTAAATAAGTTTTGAGAGTGTGAAGGCAGAAAGAAAAGAACGTGTATAACTACTGAATGTTGTTTATAAGCCTGGACTTTGAAAGTCAGTGCTCAGAGTGGCATGTTTTTTCTGCAAATATGAAATAAGCTTGGACTTTTGATTGGTAGACTTCACTTTATTGCTCCCTTCTGGGGACATTTATTGTTGTCAGTCAAGTTTATAGCCAATAGCCAGTACAGATTTAGTACTGAGAATCCATTCTCGGTGTCTGCTAGTGGGTTTTTGCTACATCTAAAAACACCTTGCAGTACTGTTCTAGAGAAGCTTTATGACTCACTGGCCTGGTTAACTCACTCAATGGCAATAACTGAAGAGGTTTTGAGGTATCCTTGTCTTTACACACTTGCCTTTTCTACATGGCTGTTCTGTTTGTGTTTATCTCTGATCTAACTGCATTTTGCACTTTTTAGTAGTGACATAGAATTCCACAAAAATCTTATTTTGCATCTATTGTTCTAATTAGATACTTGAGGCTTAATGGAATTCACCCATTCCTTAACACTGACTGTTCCCTCTTAGGTGATTATTAATTACTACAGGTCGCTTCACTGAAACATGCGAACATGTGTTCAGTTCTTATAGTTCTAGTGAATAACTCTGCACATACTCTGATCTAATTAGAGCCAAGGGTGTTAGATTTAAGCCATTCCTGCCCTAAAGAGGACTAGTAAGGAAGTTCTTTTTTTGTACCCAGAATTCTTTACTGTGCACGATGATCAACAAAGGAAGGTGCTAGACTGGAGCACAATCTCCCTGGCGGTGCTAATTGGCCTGAATCTTCTGTGAGAGCTGTCATCTTGTGTAAAGAAACCTGTGATCCACAGCCATTGGTGCTGACACACCAGTTTCAACAATAACTCTCCAACATTACCACAAAAGGCATTCATATCACCAATAGCCTAATGGGAAGTAGTGCTTCCTTGAACTGCTGAAAACTAACCAGAAATAGCACTTTCGGAGTGGTGCTTGTTCCATTCCAGCAATGCTCATTTTAGCTTGTTTTGGAGTTGTTCTAAAGAAAGTGCCAGTTTCCTGTTGTGGTTGCAGAACTTCATGAGCACTGGTAAACAGCCAGCATTCGGTACAGCTTGATGAACAATATTATTGTGGTCAAAGATGGCTGAGTGATAACTTTGGCTCTCATGTAGGAAAGAGTAAATGTGTCTTCAGTATTGCCAATAAGGTGTCCAATAAAATCAGCAGTGTGGTAGGTACCAGTGAGCAGTGCCAGATGCGTCATTAGTGCTGGAAATGCATTTATGGCTATACAGGGTTTTGACAATGTGAACTTTCTTTCATCCTTATAATACCATTCAGTGCAGTGTACTTGCATCCCAAATGAGCAAAACTTTAATGGTCCTTAAAGAGTATATCCGTACTAGAGATTCCATTTTAGATCTATAAAGTTTGGATAGAGGGACTGGAGACAAAGGCTGTTCTCTGGCAAAATGTCCCAAGCATTTGGCAGGTAAACGGAGCATTTTCAGCATAATAGCAGCAGAAGATTCACTGCTAAATTATGCATGTAAAATGAGGAAAGCAATTAAGATTATATTATTGGCTGGTAAATCTTGTAATAGCAAATCATCCAGTATTTTTCATCTGCCACCTTCTGCGCCATTTTTTCCACAATTGTACAAGAGAGATGCTTCATTGGGAACAAGGACTTAAAAGGCCTTTACCAGTCATAATAGTTTTGTCTGTACCACCTGCATTATTTTAAAGAGCCAGCTGTCTCTTCAAGCATTTACAAGAGCCATTTTATTGCTAGAAATTTCTGTGTTCTACTTCTTTTTTCCTTTTAAAGGTGCAATGCAGAATATTCTCTACTTACATAGAGTGAATCTTGGTGACATTTTTGTACTCCCCCCCCCCCAAAAGAAAAACCACTGTGTCAATCCTATACTCACTTGGGAAGTCCGTGAGGGTTTTCTAAGTAATGTCATATGGGCATGTGCTACACAAGCCAAGAAGGAAATGCTTTCCTTTTTAACTTTTTTTTATATGTGCATACTATTCCTGGGAGGGGTCTTACTGACAGTGTTGTCCACTGCTATTCAGTTCATACCCTTTTCATTTCCCTAGAAGAGGCAAAATTCTTGACAGAAAAGGTAACCAAATTCCTTCTTCCTCAGCTGCCCATTAGTTGGAGCCTTTAGCTTTAGCTAAAGCCATTAGTGTACTACAGAAACTGAAGTTAAATGAATAATTTCTCATCTAATTCATGAATTCATAGCAAGAACATAGATGAGTCCTCTTGTAGAATCAGTCTTCTTCAGTTGCTTTTTTAGATTTTTGGATTTGTCAGTCCCTTTACTTCAGAAAAAATGTTATTTTGGAACTATTTTTCTTAAGTTTTTTTTAAAAAAAGAAGCTTTAGCTCCGTATGCAGGGTGGCACTGTGCTACTTTAATCTGTATCTCACACAACCCCTACAGCAGTTGCTGGTTTGCCAAATGGGCGAGTGTTCAAGCTAATGTAGCATCATGTATGTCAGTAGTAGAGATGCATGGGCCATGGACCTACACTTTCTTAGCACAGCCCTGTGCCTCTCTACTCAAAAGTAAATTCCATTGAGGTAAATATAATTTAATTCTAGGTAAATGCATATAAGGTTACAGCCTCAGGTTAATTGTATAAATGCAATATAACCCATTTCTTAAAATGAGTAAACATCTTAAAACAATTTCTCCTTATCATACTTATCTTAAAATCTTAGTACTTATTTTAAATGTTTCCATGCTCTTTCTCCTGCTTGTCTATCTCGCTATTTCTCCTGCTTGTCTGTCTTCATAGCTATACCTTCATGTGTTCCTCAATGCCATTATTGTAGTCCTGGAATGGATGCCTTGTGGCCCTCCAGATGTTTTGGTCTAATCCCTCACCATTGGCTATGCTGGCCAAGGCTGATGGGAGTTGGAGGCTAAAACACCTGAAGGATCACAAGGCATGGATCGTTATTTTAGTCGAATCCATGATTAAATCTGTGTTCTCCCTAGTTCCCCTCTCTCTTTTTTGGTGTGTGGTCTTTGGAAGGCGTTTCCTCAAATAGACACTCGTAGCCTGTCCACTTGTAGGAAGTACATGTTTTAATCTATTTATTCAAATTAACACAATGGTGTGGTTTTTTTTCCTTTAGTGTATTTCTGTGCTTACTCCCTTCCCTTTGTGTGTTCTATTTATTTTGATTTAAATGACAGTCAACAGGGCTCTCTTTGATTCAGCATTTTATGTTGCACAGTACCTTGGGATTACTTTAGAAACTTAAGAAATTACAGAAGTGACTATTGTATCAGTTGCTGCACACCAACAAAAATAGTGTGAGAACTGCTCTATAGTTCCAATTGTCTACAGTATAAGTATAAAAGCTATACTTTTATAAGAGGTGATATCTTACAAGAGGTGGCATGTAATGTGAATAGAAATAAAAAGTATGCCTGACCATAATCCGAACCCTGCATGCACAGTTGTTCATGGCTAACTGAGCAGATAGCTGCATTTGAGAACATGAGAGCCTCCCTTTTACCTTGTATGGCAAGAGAGAGTGCTGTTTGCAAGTGCAGGTCTAAGATCACAGATTAATTCCTTGTGTAGTTTTGATAATTATTTCACAATTGTTTCCAAGCTTATAATATAGGAAGAAATATTTGAAGTCAAAAATACAATGTGTTTGTGTGCAGAACATCAAACGATTGCTACTACCCAAATTTAGGGAATATAGAACTGGAAATGAAACATATTTTTGTTACATTGTAAGATCGTGGAGCAGCCTTCTGAGTCCAAGCATGCATTCCATACATTCCTTACCTTTTTTTGTTAAGATATCCTCTAGGTCTTACATACTAATGCTGCAACATAACCCCAGCAGATAGCATCACTTTAGTGACAAACGCACACTAAAATATTATTAAATTCATACCTCTACCACCCCACAGATGAAGTACTCTCAGTAGTTTACAAAAGTCAATAAAAACAGACAATTTTAAAAAGTGTCATAAAAGTCAGCCAAAAAATTTAAAAGTGTAAAACACCTAAAACAAACAATGGCAAAAAATTAACCTGCAAATATCTGAAAGGGGTAAAATCCCACAAGCCCCTGCATGTTTAAGTAAATTTTTAAAACGTCTCCAAAAAGAAGGCTGTCTTAACCTGGCACCAAAAAGATAACAGATTCAACACAGTTGGGCTGCACTGGGGAAGATGATCCATAGATGGGAGGGACTGCAGAGAAGGCCCCAGAATTTGAGCTTATTGTCTGAGTAGATCATGGCTGGCAGAAGCACTCTGATAAGAATTGTGATCCTAAGCCAGCGTGCAAGGCTTTATGGGTGAAAACCAGCACCTTGAATTGGAACTAGAAGGATACAGGCAGCCACTGCAGGTGGGTCAGAACCGATCTTACATGTTAAGTCCTGCAGGTTCCAGTTATTAATCTGGCTGCTGCATTCTGCAAAAGCTGCAGCTTCAAGGGCAGCCCATTAGAACGCATTACAGTAATCCAACTTGAAGATTACCTGAGTGTAAACTACTGAAGCCAGGCTGTTCCTGTTCAGCACCACCAGCCAAAGCTAGTAGAAGGCACTCCAAGCCACTGAGACCACCTAAGCCTCAAGTGACAAAGATTGGATCAGGGAGTACATTGATGGCAACACACTCCAAAACTCCAGAGGACCCCCACTCAGTGCTTTCTTGTAAAACTTAAATTGCATGGGGGACAGAACTCCATGCTGAGGAATCCACAGAGCTGAGCAATATTCCCCAAGCACCATCTTCTCAAGATTGCCATCCCTGCGATGCAGTGCTCCTTATTCCCAATTCAGTTGCTCCTGAAGGTAACCCTGATCGATGGTATCTAAAGCCACCAAAAGGTCCAACAGGATCACACACACATCCTAGTTCTGTCTGGCATAGGTTATCATGCAGGGTGACCAAGGCTGCCTGATCCCTGACTAAAATGGGTCCAAGTAATTAGTAACATCCAAAAATACCTGAAGTTGATTGGCAAGCAGCCTTTCTAGAACTTTGCCCAGGAAAGGGATGTTTGCTCCTGTCCTAAAATAGCTGGTCAAGAGAGGACTTTTTCAGAAGTGGCCTCACCACCTCTTTTAAGGCAGTATGGGACCACACACTCTCACAGAGAGGCATTCATGACCTCCCTGGCCCAGCCACTGGTTCCTTCCTTGCTGGCTCTTACAAGCCAGGAGGAGCAAGGATCCAGTACAGATTCAGTTGCACAAACACCTTGTCCACATTCTCAAGCTGTAGCAATGAAACTCAGCCAATGAAAATGGACCAGGCAACGCTCTGGATATCTCCACCAATTCAGAGTCAAGTCCTGGTGAGAGAATGCAAGAGACTTTCTTCTGGAAGTACCCAGCAAGTAAATTACATTGAGACTAAAATGGTTCCAAGTTGTTCCCATGGCCAGAATATGTGTGATAAGCCCCAGCATCCTTGAAAAACTACACTGGTAAAGGGAAGATTGAATAGTGGCAATGAGATACTGTTTCTTTGCCTTTCTTCACTGCCTCAAAATATACCCAACAGTGACAATTCTACTAGTTCCTCTGAATAATATTTATCTGAATATATTTTGTTAACTAATGCACAAGACTATATAATAATCACACTTTAATTAAATCTTTATACTTCTAATGCCATTTTTTGGACACTGTTTGCAAAAACTTTATGCCAAAGACTTGTGGATATGAGTCTGAATCTAGCTAAGAAGATGACTACATGATAGGGCTTTAGATTTGTTGTCTTCTAACATATTAAAGGTAAAGGTTTTCCCATTACATTAAAGTCCAATCATATCTGAGTTGGGAGCAGTGCTCATCTCCATTTTCTAGCCGAGGGAGCCAGCGTGTGTCTGCAGACAGTTTCCATGGTCATGTGGCCAGCATGACTAAACACCAAGGTGCATGGAACACTGTTATCTTCCCACTGAAGTGATACCTTTTTATCTACTGGCATTTGTATGCTTTCGAACTGCAAGGTTGGCAGGAGCTTCTAACATATAAGGCAGACCAATTTTGAAACTCCCAGTACATTCACACAAAAAAGCTCAAAAGTGCTAAAGCTTTGGGGTTCATTGCAATACTCAGCAGAACTATTGAATTGGTGTCCTTTCTTGTAGCAGAGAACAGGAAGCAAAGTGTGTTTTTCAATGGCAACAAGGAGTTAAGTGGCATCAGTCTAGCACAGCCTTCCTTAACTTGGTGTCTTGATGTGCTACTACAATTTCCACCTTGGAGATATAGTCAAAAACGTCTGGAGGACCAGTTTGGGGAAAGCTATTCTACTCTTAGTATTGCTTTTTTATTTTCAAGTGTGTTTAATCATGTGAAGTGAGCTCAAAGCACAAAATTTCCAGTGTATTTGTTACGGGAAATGGTGTATCTGTTTCTTCCAGTGGAAGGCATGAAACAGTTCCTCAATTAGACATTTGTCATAATGGATAAGTGACATTATTAGCACTGCTATATCAGTTTCCTATAACTAAAATTAAAAGACATGCTTTATGGCTTCTCTGTGTCTTCCTCTTTTGATCACAAAAGGAAATTTTGGAGAAAATGGGGTGTCTTGCTTGCCTGTAGTAAAGTGCATGTGGGAAGAAATTAACACTACAACCTCTGTTGCACACGCCTTTGAATACTCTAGTGCAGAGATTCAGGAACCTGTGGCTGTCCAGATTATATAAGACTGCAACGAATATCACCCATCTGACCCATGTTGGCTGGGGCTGATGGCAGTTGGTGTACATCTGGATAGCCATAGATTCTGGCTGTAGTGCTACATAAATACTATTAACAACACTTAGGCTTAGTGACCTTCTCCCAGACTACATATCCACTGACAATAAATGTACAGCTGAAGTGTCTCGGTGTGAAGAGACTGTGAATCTAGGGCTCATTTTGCAACTGCATCTGTCCCTTCTAACAACTTTCAGAGGCTGACTTAAATCTTGAAAAAGGCCTTCTATCATAAGAGGTAAAATGGCCACCATCCTGGCAGGAGACAAACTCTCAGAACATATCCAGCCATTGTCTTGGCTCTTAAGCTCTTAATAGGCATAGACCAGTCTTGCAAGGAAGTCCACAAATGGATTCACTTGGGTGCCTGCATAGGCCTGTGTTAGTTCTTTTGTGCCCAAGAAGTAGCACAGCACTGATGCACCTTGTATGACTGAGTGGCAAAGTGCTCCCCCTTTACAAAACCTGGAGGAAGGGAGCACCTTGAAGTTTGACTGGGGCTCAAGAATGTTCCTGAATGTGTGCAAGGCCACAGCACACACTTGCTATCCTCACGTTCCCCATGTGCCTAGTCTTATGAAGCCTATCAATGAACCAAGGGGAAACAGAGTGAGAATTAAGCAGCCCTAGTTCCTTTACAGAGAACCAAAGCAATGGCTTTTTGCAGCTGTGATAGGCAGCTGCAGTTTTATTCTTGCATGTGGTAAGGCCAGTGGGAACAGAAACGCACCTTTGGGCCTCTTGGTCACTGGCTGTTGCTACCAGTATTAAGTGTTGCTGCTGGCTGCTTTTCAGCTGGTGGTGAGACTACGTGTGACTTGCAGGTAGAGCACATCCTTTACCTGTGGAAGGTCCCAAGATCAATCCCCCCATCATAGAGCAGGAAATATTCCTGCCTGAAGTTCTGCAGGGCTCTTGCCAACCAGTGTTGACAATATTGAGCTCAACAGACTGAGGGCCCAACTCATTATAAGGCTACTTCCTGTGTTCTAAGACAAAATACTTGTGCAAGCTTTCCTCAGTAGAACACAGATGGATGCTTGGAGGGGAAGACCTGGGTTGCACCTGCTGCTCCATGCATAAGGATCCTATGTGGGCGTAGGTTCAGGGGAATGTTTGTGGAGAGGGGATTCCACTCCTTGGCTTCCATGTGATCCAGCTAGATGAACTAGCTGGGGTTTAGGGTTAGGACTTGAGGAAAGAATGAGCTAGCTGCTAAATACTCTAAATAACTTGAGCACAACTTACTGCCTGTGTAGTGAAAATGAAACCAAGTATTTGTGCCTGAGGAACTTCTCATATCCCATCACTGATAAAGTGGCTTCAACTGTAAGATGTTTGTACAGATACACTAAGTTTCGGAAGACTTGCAGTATGCTTGCCTATTTTAAGATAAGGTATTTAATATGGGCCTATTACTGAACTTGCCTTTTAACTTGAACTCCTCAATTGCATGGAAAAGTGATTCTCTAAAGATATTATTTATTGGTGCCTGTATGTGCCTACGGAGAATAAAGCTAACACAAGAGGGCAGTGTTGCTCTACTAAATGGTTTCTGAAAGCTAAATGGTTTGCAGAGCTGTGTGTGTAACTTAACAATTTAAAGGAAAGAGGTTTTAAAATTCTCTTTAGTAACTTAACTGCAATCCTGTTTAACTAAACACATGCTGTAAAACCATGAAATTCCCCCTTGCAACACTTGGCAGAACAATGGTAAGTAGTTAGATTTTACTGTTTTCCTTTCACGTTGTGATTGCACGTTTTAACCTAATTATAGATGGTAAATGGAAATCCTGCTACTGAGAATATATGTATTACAGCTTTGAGGAAGAAACCCTTAAATGCACACTGCAGGGAACCCTCCAGCAACACACCTCTTCACCTTGTTAATAGCCACTTAAAGCTGGAGTGGGTTGTGGGTTGTTTGCTTTTTTAAATAACAAGAAGTGGTTAAGACCCAGCACCAAGACAGGAACATTGCAGAAACTGTAAATCAAGCAGCTGCTTCATGCAACCTGGACTCCATTCCAGACACATTTGAGCCGGGCACCTGGCAATGACATTGATGCTATTCCATGCAGGGTTCATGCTGCAAGCTTAAGCAAGCCCTTCAGTGCTCCAGGCATGCGGAAAAACAACACAAAACAATGCAAAGCAGCTTCTAGACTTCACTACCGGACAGAACTGTGGCAAGGTCTTCAATTTCATGAGTGCTTGGCTATGGGGAACAACAGTGCTCCATACCCACTCACCCCGAAACTACTTTAAAAAAAAAATGCTGAAGATTTTCTAGAGATGCTGGCATTCTCCACCCAAAGGCCAAACTGGAGAACATTTTGCCTTCCTGTAAATCGGAAAATCAAACTTAGGCATTCTAGGGAGGCAAAGTCTTTACTGAAAGTACTTCCAGGAAAGAAAGAAACCTTCCCTCTGCTTTCTCCTACCAGAAAATCTGTCCAGAAGGCATTAGCAAAAGAATGAATGGAAAATGGGTTCCCCCTTATGTTTTTAAGGCTGAACAAGTTTTCTCCCCATGTTGGAGGGGAGGTAGAAACAATGTGTTTCTGTGGTACAGCATAAACAAGCTTAGACAAGGTTCTTTTGACAGGAATTTGGCTAGATGTAGGTCACTGAATTACTAATATTTTTCGGTTACATGGTGCAAGGTTGGTTTTGTTCCTCCTACATGCCTGCAATGGGCATGTAGTCTTCTGACTATCCCTTCCGGGCTTTGAGCTGTGCAGCAGTTTACTAAAAAGCATGCAAGAGTTCTTAGCTTAGAGCTGTCTTAAAGCCAAGCTAGAGTTATATTGGTCTTCATACCCTGATGTCCCATGGGTGGTTGTAAGGAAGGCAATTCCATGGCTGGAAACCCTACAATTCCAGTGGGACAAAAAATGAAGGATGATTGGTACAGACAGCCCTGAGAGTTTTTAATGCTGCACTGAGACGGACGTGAAATGAGGACACCTGCAATAACATTCCAGCTTTGTGTGTTCATGAACCCAGAGAATGGGGGTGTTCGTGTATTTTTTTCTCTCGGTGCAACTAGGGTTATGTGAGGGGAGAGCAGGGGTATCTTCCCTCTATCGCATCCCTCCCAGGACCTCCCTCCTGCACATCAGAGGACAGTCTGCAGTGGAGATACTGAACTTAAGTAGACTCCCCCACTCAGCTTAAACCATCTGTGCTGTTTGCCTTCAATATATGGGGGACAGCAGTGGGAATGCAGTGGAGAATGTAGAGCTAGCTAACATAACTCACAGGAGAAGAGTGAATGGGACTAGCATCTTGTATACATTTAGAATTGGGATGCATGAAAATAGTATTAAACAATTCAAGATGTGATTCTCTTCCCCTGCCCACCCCAACCCCAAACAACCCCACCAGAATTATTCATAAGTCCTCAGTCTAGAAGATCAAGGTGACTCATTTATTAGAGGAGTCAAGATTTATTTATTTTATTTTGCCCAAGCTGAGAAGAAAAACAAAGAGGAGGAAGATGGCAACTCATGCCTGAAAGTGCTTCCAAAGGCAGCCCCTGCTGTGAGGCACCTGCTGTTAGTGATGACAGAGCGTTATTAGTACAGGATTTATGAGCTGTGCCTAGATTAAAAATTAATATAGAAACCAGTTTCTTTCAACTTTTGTAGGAAACGGCATTTGTTTTCAATAAAACTAAAGCATTTGTGCTGCTTAGCAAGGAGGGAAAGCGAGATGTTGCACTAAGAAGAATCACTTCAAGTTGAGCCTGCTTTCAAAGAGAACTAAATTACAGTATATACCACACCTTTTGGAATTTCTAGAAAAGACTTAAGGTAGCATCCATTTGGTGCCATCCATTCCACTTCACTCTTTGGATGATCATTGTATTATCACTATTACTGTATTACTTACTTACACACATACATACGTACATACAATCCAATGTAGCTGAACTGGAATGAAATGTGGTTGCTGTAAGTCTCTCCCTCTTTTTCCTTCCCAGCAGACCAAAATGGAATGCTTTTAGAATGCAGCCCTTTATTAGAACTGAACAAGTTCTGCACTGTTACCAGATGTTTTCTATGAAGCTTAACAAGTCACATCAGGCAAGAGAACCATTGCTCCAGTCTGTGGGAGTATGCTCTGCCCATGTAAAGAGTTGATTCCCGACTGAAAGGATGTCCTTCCCTCCCATTGGTCTGCTCATTTGACTCGGTGCCACCTTAGCCAATGGAGGAATTCCTGCTCCACCCCAGCTAAACCTCCCTGGTCTACCGTGTCTTCCCCATACCCAACATATGCTTTGGTTCTCGGGCACTACTTGACTAATCTTGTTTGTTCATCTTGACTTTTCAGTGCCACCTGCCAACTCCCATCCTTCAGCTATTTCCCATTCTGAACCTGACTATCCAGCTGGGAATGCTGTATGTCGAGAGAGCTGGGCACCATCTCCACTGTAGTAACTTCTAATTACAGCCAGTTCAAAGCCAACAGCTTCAAACTGTCTGGTGATCCTAGCTTCTTCAGAGAAACCATACTTAAAACTAAGGCAAGTTCTTTTTTGATACCACAACAAACTGTTTAGTTTTAAACAGGGACCAGTTTTTTTAGTTTTTGGCATGCTCTAGCAACTTCTCCAGAGGTGGAAGTAGGAAGACTATACACTTTGGCTTATGCATGTAGCACTAAGCTAGGGTTGGGCAGTGCATCTGAATGGGCCCCTGTATAGGCATCGAGGATAAGACAATTAATTTTTCCCTGGTGGGTTTTCCCACCACCATAGCCAATAGCTTGGGTTTTTTTTAAAATAGGCAGTTTAGAGACAGAAATGGTTCAAAGGGGACATTAACATGCCTTAGGGAGCAAAGTGGGCAATCTGCAAAATTTGGACTTAATTCCAAAAGCCAAGTGAAATGTTACCTGTCAGATACTTGCAGTGACCTGCTGAGATGGGAAACAAGGAAAAAGAATGATAGAGAAAATTGGCCCTCCTGTCCACTTCTAGCCTGCAGATTAGGCTAAAGGACTGTGATAATGGAAGGATGATAGGACATAGATGCAATGATAAATACTGAACTTTTTTGTGAGCAACCCATGGTGGCACACAGGGTCCGTCTCCATTTTTCACAATAACTTCTTGCGGGAAGGGATCTTACTATCACATGACTGGTCTGTGCTCTTCGCACATTCAGTCTGATGGAAGCAGGCACCATGAACGAGGTCTGTGGGAGCTTTCTTGAAAAGCACTGAATGCTCCAAGTTTTTCTGTCTCTGGTTCCCTCTCCCTTCCCTCTTATTATTGCCCTTCATGCAGCTTTGGTGCCAGTGGAGCAAAAACAAACAAACAAGTCTCCAAGTGTTAAATTCATTGTAACTCTCTGCTCCTGACATGGTGTCTGTTGCTTGCCCAGAGAGACCTCTTTGAAATGTATTGTATTCATATAACATACGAAAAACTTCATGAAGGTGGGTAAAGAGAACATATCACTCCATCCCCCACCAACTTGGAACACTTCCACAAACAAACAAACAAACAAACAAAGCAAAGCATGTGCTTCTAACATGATTGCAGTTTTCTAAAGACATTTCTTTGCTTAAGACATTCCCATGTCAATAGCCCACAAAAATGCAGGGAGGTTAACCTGCATTTAACCTCACTACTCAACACACACTAACACATTTAACCTCACTACTCAACACACACCTTGTAAAGACTGTTCCTGCACCTCTTTATCTGAAACTTGGCAGGCTTGATCTCCAAAGGGACAATTATCCCTGCAAATTTCAAATAGTTCTGATAGGAAATTAAAATGAAGTCCAGATTTAAGTGCCTCTAACACAAAAAGCCCTCATAGCACACTTCTCTACCTGTAAACCTCAAGAACTTCTAGCAAAAGACGTGAAGTTCTGGGACCAAATACTGTATCCATTTCAAAGCAGGTAGTCTCTAGCTCAGATTGAGCAGAATTGGAACTGTTTTCTGCATCTTCAAGTTTGGGTCTGAATTGAATCTTGTGGTCAGTGCATTGCACTAGTAACTATTGCTATGAGGAATTGTGAAAGGTGGTTGCATTTGTGTGTGTATGTGGCATTAAGAAAGCTGAGAGCAAAACTGCATTACCTTTAACGCATAACATATGTATGTACTTTTCATCCTACACAAAAGCAAGTGCAAGGAACCCAATTTTGATCCTCATTTGATAGGTAGGGTTCCCTCCGCACAGCTCTGGTCCAGATCCAGAGTGGGCACCCTATGCCTACAATCTGCATTTTGTACATGAAAGAAGCCCTGCCATTGCTGCAAGCTGCAAATAAAAGAAAATGTTCATTTTAGGTCTAAGTATATAGTATAGAGAGGCAATGAAGGGTGTGGGGGGGGAATTCCGAGAACTAAATGTAATTGAAAGCAAAGAAACGTGAGAAAATACAGGTATTTGTAAAACCGAGGTGCTGTGAGATGTTATGTAAAACTGAGCTGCTGTTGTTTAGATTTCCATCCTTGTGGTATGTGAAAGGAAAGGTCTCTGAACTGGGCCTCTACTATTTTACACAACTGAAACCAAGCAACCAAAGTTCCATTATGAGTTTTAAGACATCCATCAAAGGGTTTCTATTTCTTACTTTTCTCACTTCATTCCACTGCCTTCTCTGAGTACCACCAACAGCTTTTAAAAGTAAAATTATCAAGCTAAACCTTGCCATTGGTTAGCATGATAATCACTTGGGAAATTCTCTACATTAAACATATGAATTCAAGCCAAGCTTGGGAATGACTTGTACCAGAAAGCAAGATAAACTGTGTTTTTAAAATCCTACTTAGTTAACTTTTGTAGTGGGCAGGATGTGATTCTAGATGCAGTTAGTGCTTTTCAAAACAAGGCCTTTGTTTTGTGCTTGTCCCTCCCTCCCTGTTCACAGCTGTTGACGAGCTCCTTAGACCAGTGGTTTTCAACCCCGTCCGTGGACCAGCTCTGGTCCATGGGGGTCCACATCCTACTCGCCGTAGACTGACACAGAGGCTGGCTGTCCTCCTTGGTTAGCATTGCATGGGGGGCGGGTGCGCTGCTGCCACTCGGGGGCCAGGGAGGGGAGACGGCTCGATGGGAGCCAGCTGGGAGCCCCACTGCACTGATTTCAGTATTTTGTTCCTTTGTTGGCATTTTTTGTTGCTTGGTTTCTGGTTGTTTTGGTTTTTGGGGTTTGTTTTTTTTTTTTTTTGGTATTGTCTTTGGAAACTAATACACAGAATACTGTGTATTATGTGTATGGCACTTTTTGTCTCTGCCTTAGTAGTCCCTGAGGTGGTTTTCCTGTTTTCACCGGTCGCCAGCTGTGGAAAGGTTGAAAACCACTCCCTTTATTGCGAGGCTGCAGTTTTGCTTGTGTATTGGAAGTCTTTTTAGAACAAGGAAGAGTTCTTCAGAAAGCTGTATCTCAGATGGTGAAAGCATGATTTCCTTTTGCGTATTGCACGGATGCCATTATACCACTTGGAGGTTGTACAGCAGCAAGAGTTATAGGGCTGGGATGTCAATTTTGCAGTGGAGTCAATAGTAGATGCAGCAGATAACAGTGTCATGTAGAAAGGCAGAACTTGTATCTGCAACTCAGAATGTAAGACTGGGATTTGCTAATACTTATCTTATTTTTTGCCTTAATTAAAGCCAACAGGGCAGGTCATGAACTGAAAATCTCTTACCAATTTTATTCAGATGGTTTTTCGAGTGTAATGAAAGTCCTTTTCTGGAATCCAGTTCCTCAGTAGGAATAAATAAGCTAATTGTTTAAGAACTATGTTTGTAAGGTTTGACTTGCATTTACATTGGCCATTATGTTAGAAAAGATGATTCAATGAGAGTTTTTAATTCCAAACTTTCTGTGGTTCAGGGATTTAGAGACCAATAATTAAATATATTGTAATTTCTGTTGGGATATTAGGAGATAATTGGTTACGCTTCCATTTATATTGCCTAGCAGAGGCAAATTTCTTCCTATATCTTATAGAGGAGCCACCATGAACCCTTTCGTTACAGAAAAAGTCGCTGCCTTTTTCTATTGCATTTGAGTGCACACTTGACATGTTATTGATCTTAGTGATGATGGTATATATAGTATATATCCTTCAATCTGATCATGGATTGCAATAAACAGTTTGCTTTGGATAAAAGTAATTTTGCTTTGGATAAAAGTCATAAAAGCCAACTTCATCACAGCAGAATTGTGCTAATCTACGAACACCAAACATTTATCTCTGCACCTCTAAGCCAAACCTTAGACAGATCCTTCTACTTAATTTCAGTCAGGTTGAAGTTAATGCCCCATGTTTTTGCAAACATGGAAGGTAATTGATGCAGAGCAAAGATCACACAGAAGAAAAATACGGTATGACAATGTATTTGTCAAATTAAAAAAGCCCAGTTGCCATTGTGTCCATGGCCCCAGTAATATCATGGAAGGGTAAAGGGAAGAAGGCAACCCAAAACCCCGTAAGAACACTTCCATGCACAAGCAATCCCACTGTGACTTGGCCTTACTGCAGTACTTGGAAACAGAGCTCTGCTCTGATGGAGGAGTCACATTTCTTGTAATAGGAAGCCTGAAATCCCAGACAGCGGCACCCATCAACTTTCAGAAAGGGATTCCCTCTTTCCTGGTGATGAAGTTTGTGGGAGAAGCGAGAATGGAGCAGAACAGGAAGGTGGCCTCCAAAGGCTCGATCAGCTGAAAGATGAAGTACACCTCATTATGTAGTTTAACAAAGCAAAACAGGTTTCTTTCATTCCTGGTGCACATAGAAACCATTTCCCAAGTATTCACTTTCTACTTCAACTACTTCCTCCAGCCTGGTGCCTTCCAGATGTTTTAGATATCAGAGCTGATCAGCTGCAGCCAGCACGGCTAATGGTCAGGAAGGCTGGGATTTGCCCCAAACATCTGGAGGGCACCAAGCTAAAGAAGGCTAAGCTATACAGTTATAGAAGCCAATACCCTCAGTGGCACACCACCACTGTCAGATGCTCAGCAGATCACCACTGGAGTTGATTCCTTAACAACCACAGAGACGAAGCTCACCAGTAGGATGCTTGACCATTGGTGCTTGAAATTCTCCGGCGGAATTTCCAGAGCTCTAAATGCTTAGCTAATTCCTTGGAATATACGTAAGTGATCCCTGAGGAAAGCAGGGTTGAAAAGAAAGCCTTCTAACTGAGTATGCAGAGCCTTGTTTCCAGTTATTGTCATGGAATGGGACCCAGTTCATGCAGGCGGGTGTGGGGCTGCTCTGTGTAGCTCTGATGCTGGAGATGAGGCACTCTGGTTCTTCACTCCCACTCCTGTCCATTGCTTCCTACAGACCGACTGCTGGTGCCCTGCCAAGTCACAGACTATGGCAGCACCTTTGTGGGCTGGTTTCCTGTGTCTACCGCAGGGAGCGTCGAGGGGAAAATGCACTTGCCTCTGCCCACCTCCCGGTTCACTTGCCCTGATCTGCGCAGCAGAACGAAACAAGACTTTTAGGACACTCCCTGCCTGAGTTTGAAAAGGGATGAGAGAAAAAAAAAAGGGAAAGAGCAACTTAGAGCAACAGCTCTAAGAAACCAAGAGAGGACTGGGACAAGAGAGAATGCCAGAATGCTTGAAATGAGTAGGCTTGTACCTTTGCTGGAAAACAAAACCAAAAATTAAGCCCCATAAAATTAGAACCTGAAACAGTTTTTCCCAAATTTTGTCACGCTCAGGTCCCAACATGTAAATCCCATTCCTGGAGTTGAAGTTCTCCACTGTTCTGTTCTCAGCAAGCGATGCATAACAAAACAGGGTTCTCTTAGTGCACTCGAGTGTTGGCCCTGCAGATGTGGCATTTCAGCAGACAGATGTGCAGTTCAGTTCTGTCATTTCCTGCAAGGTGGGTGTTCCCAGCCCTTCCGGTCCGTCTGCTATACTGGGCTCACTGGAACACTGCCTGTGGTTTAAGCTGGGCTGCAGATGGAGGCACTTGTCACCATTGTCAGGCTCTTCCACAACCATCCCTGAGTGCATAATGGATGCCATGGCCAAGAGCTGGATGTCAGAGTGAGCGTTGGCGACGGTGTGGCGGCGGATGCTCCCGCACTTCTCGAGGTAAGCCTCGCCTTCCTGCTCCGTCAGGGGTGTCAAGGCAGTCTCACTGACTTGTCGGGTTGCCACAGGGTGAGAAGCAAAGCTCAAGCCATTGGGTCTGGAACGTGGCCTAGAGTATCTTCTCTCTGGAAAACAAGAAGGAAGACACGTGGATGAACGAGGGACTGCGTACAAATGCAGAAACAGTGTGATCTCTCATACTTTGCTTCGTGTAGCTCTATCCAGTAATTTTCCTCCAGGTGTATGCTACAGCACACCTCTGGATGAATGTACGGAAGTTAAGTATATTAAACTTCTTAGGAAGTGATAGACTTTTACTTAGTAACATACAATCCCCCTACCCACATTCTCCACTGAGAATAAAAGCCCACGTAATCCAGTATATGCAGCAGTAAAACAGAAAGGTCATAATTATTTTTCTGCCTGCATAGAAATTATTTCTTCAGTGTCTGTAGCATGAGACTCTAGAGGTTACACTTATTTGTGTAACAACAGAGTAGTTGCATTTTTTAAATCGAAGGAAGGAAGTAGAATATTGTAAAGGGCAGAAGTCAGTCTTAGCTCCCTGCACTTTGTAACAGTGCAAACCTGAAGTCGCATTACTCTAGCTAGGTGGGCAGAGAACTCCAGGCAAAGTCAGATGGGGTGAGATTACAGTAATGCAGAGACTGGATTGCATTACTGTAGCATAAGCCTTTACAAATTGCCCCTCTCATATAGGACTAAACATGGGGAGGCAGGAAGAATGCCACGTATTCAGGGTGGGTGTCTCCCAGTGGAAAGCCTGGCCATGGGCTGCTGTTGGTGCATGGCTGTGCCAGGAGTAGACAGCTACTACAAGTCTGGCCTCTCTCTCCTAGACATCTGCACTGTGGAACACGACGGTGGGAGGAGGAGAAAGTCCAGGGACTCTTGCCAGGGGGCCCCTATTGTGGTGCAAATCCACTAACGGCAGCCCTGGATCTAGCACGGGGCCTCTGGTATAAGAAGCGTTTATTTCCCAACTGATCTACAGGTCCACAACAGACCCTTCCGTACAAGGCCATAGGGCCGGCTCCAGCGATACTGTGAGGAATTTGACTCTCTTTCGGAGGGAAGTCTGAACGCCTTGGATGAAGGCTTTGTTTGCTGCCTTCCTGGGAATGAGGGCATGGTGCTTGCTGTGCTGGAGGAATCCAGCACGGAGTTCTAATTCTTTGCACTGTGGTGGAAGACACACATCAGCATGGCATTTGTGCCAGCCCCACATACTGATAGGTGGCTCCTGTACTTGCTGGGCACTGTTTATTCATGATCTTGCGATCAGCACAAGTAGAATTATTAGGGATATTACAGGGGCTGACTGAGCAACTTTCAGTATAATAATTGGGCTTCACAGAGATGAATAATAAGCTCAATAACTGGGCTTCATAGGGATGCTGCCACCAACTCTGACTGAGAACCACCAATAATTTCCAGAATATACTGTACAGAAGGAGTGGGCAAGCATCAGACTTGCAGAGTCTACTTCACTTTTAACTAGAACGTCCAGATCTTGTAACTGGAGGCCAACACAAAAAATACTCCCTTAAAATTAAAGAATTCTGGGTGCAAGTTTTTATTTTGCGCAGTAGACCTGAACAAAGCTCACACTCTTTCCACACAAAAATGCATTCTTGGGAACTCTGATCTTTCAGGAGTGCAACTGAAAGGCAGAGATCAATGTTGTTGCTCCACTGGGATAAGAAATCCTTGCCAGTTTATTGCATCTCCTGAAAAATCCAGATCTGTCTTACACTGAGTCCTACTATATAGCTCTCTGGGGCCTGGATCACACATTCTTCCCTTCCATCTCCTTAGCACGGAAGCTCAGTGTCTTAGCCACACTGGACATGATGGAAGATGCTAACAAACTGTTCCCAGCTAGCAGAACAAAGGCAGAGAGGGCTAGAAAGGAGAAATGAGGCCGGGGAGAGAACACATCTTTCTAGCTCTCAGTGATACAGTAGAGTCTCTCAGTAGAGATTTTAAAAGAATATGCCACCCACTCCTGGAAGAGAAAAAGATCTGTAATTAAGGTTTTACATAGCTTTTTGAAAAGTTACAACAATCATCAAGTCTATTAGGAGATAACATGCTGGAGTTTTTTAACCACCACATCAACCACCTTGGCTTTGAATGTCGTAACAAGTAAATAGCTTAGAATTGTATGTATTTGTGGTCCTAGGGATTCACAGAAGTATACATTTACTCAGCTCACTGATCTCCTTTGCTTTAACTTTTAGGCATTACAGCAAGCCTCTCCCCACCGTAGGCTTTTGTGGAGGTAAATATATCAAATTCCATTGGAAAAGGCAGTGTGCAGTGCTACATTTTATCACCAATTTTGTCTGGGATTGTATGTCACTGCTTCTAAAAAGTAACATTCCATCATTAGCTTCATAAAGCTTAGCTTTATCTTTATAAAGCTGAAGTATAACTATAATGGGTTTGATGCAGAATTGTCCTTCTGAAAACAGAAAGGTTTCTTCTGTGAACAAAAGGGATGGCTCTGCTGGAGAGGCTACTGGTGAAGGAAGGGGAGGGGAGGGGAACAATTTCAGTGATTTGCCTTCCTCCTGCAGCCCCCCCCCCCCCGGCTCCTGATCCTCCTGGACAGACGTTCAGGGAAATATAGAGGACTGCTGGGGAAAGCATAAATCGTAAAAATCTCGTCTACCTCTTCCTCCCATGGGAATGTTTCATGGAAACTCTGGATCCCAACCTGCCAGTATAATTCTTGGAGTGTACAGTCCAGAAATATAAAAGCTCTTTAGAAAGTCTTCTGGCACATTCCTCACAAACTCGAATGGGAGGCAATCAGTACACCAGAAAGAAATCATGACTGTCTTCTGCACTGTGGCACAGACACTTCAGAAACGGCTCTCCCGAGAAAAACAAAAGTGAACTTTGTGTGTATGATGCTCAGATTTTAAGGCTGGCACCAAGCAAAGCTTATAAAATAGTCTTGATAAGAAAATTCTCCCAGACTTGATCTCTAATGGATTTAACCAGTTAAATTTGTGCTCAGTTTGCGTCTTATCCAAATTAATCTCAGCTGCCTTTCAAGTTAATGCTTCATTATTCTCTCAATGATCACCTGAATTATAAGTATAAATGGTTGTTAAAAACAGTAAATAATCTGTTTTTCTTAAAAACCTATTCTCCAAAATTATCCTAGCAAACCAATACATATTCTTCTATTGACAATGGCCCAGTTCAGATTATTTTCCAGCTTCCTAAAAATGTGTTACAAGCCAGGAATAGTGTAGTAAAATTTCACTTCAGCATTATTACTATGTCATCTTACAACTGTTGCAATAGGTTGTTCTGTAACCAAGGGCTGACTACACATAAAAAAATTTGTCTCAGAGCTTTTCTGCACAAGGCATCTATTGTGTGCTTGTGGGTTCTATAGACAAAGTTTTAAGCCTCCAGTTTTGCTGCTGTTTCTCTTCTTTTTCGGGATACTTTCCTGGCAGGGCCAAGGGAAGGAAGCATTAAACTGGGGGACATTATTCCTGGAAGCATTGTTTCTACTTTTGCATTTGTGTTACTCTGCTACAACATGGCACCCTCTAGAGGATACACAGCAGGAAAACAGGACAGGAATTGCTTTTTGGACATTTGGCGAGAGAATCAGCTGGGCAGCAGGACCCACTGGCTCCCTTCTGTCTGAGGGGAAGGGATGGCAGAGAAGCGGGTGAAGAGGGCACCTGAAAATCAGGCACTGCAGGTGCTGGGCTGGGGGAATCACCTGAGTGGCCCTGCTCCTTTCCACAGCACTGCCTGGCTGATCCTCCCCTTCACCTGAAAGGCACCCTCCCTTCTGTTGCAGTGGTTTCTACCAGAACAGGAGGAAAAGGGCCCTGCCAATCCAGCGCCGCCATTTTTGCTGTGCTTCAGGGAGAGCTTGACAGCTGTGAAATTTGAACTTGGCTCCCGACTGCAGCTGTCACAGAGAAGAGTCTCATACCTCCTACAGTGACTCTGTGGACTGAGAGGGAAGGAGAACGGCAGGAAAGAGGAGAGTTGCCACCATGAGCCCAACTGTCTGTCAGGCACATCCCGGTAAAAAAACACTAAGCACAGTAACCACGCAGGGTGACCTGTTGTGACATGTGAATCCAGTCATAGGGTAGAGCTTAGGTTCCAATTCCCTGGTGAAACCAGAAGTAGATACAGCAGTTAATGGCCTTGCCTAGAAAAAATGAACACCTGCAGGTATTTCAGGAAGAAACTGTACTTAAGAATCAATTTTAATCACATCTGTTGCTTTTGTGGTAGTGTAAACCAGCAACACCTATTACCTGGGGAAGTAGTGGGTTCTCCCCCAGTAGAGACATTCGAAAAGCATCTAGCCTCTGGACAGTCATCTGAATGGGATGGCTTAATTCAGTGTCCTGCACTGAGCAAGGGGTTGGACCCGATGGCCTTCTGGCCCCTTCCAACTCTGTTCTACGAACACTGAAATCACCAACCGTTTACATAACACTGTGCAAGCAGCTGAGGGCTGCATCTCTGTACGCATCAGTACTTAATGGGAGAGCTGAGGAACCACAACAAAGAGATTATGAACAACGCCCCTTCAAGAAAACATGTTTCTTCTCATAATAGTTCTACAGTATATGATTATATACTGTAGAACTATTATGGTGCACACAGAGAGGTATGGAAAGAACACCACAGTGAAGGTAACGGGTGCACCACAGAAAAGATTTTACCCAGTGATTAGAGACCACTTAATTTTGTAATTGTTCATCTCAAGATAATGAATCTCAGCAACCTATTATCTTGTCCTTATGTAGGGGAACATCTCTGTCCTCGAGCAACAGCTTTTTCTTCACAGCAGAAGTTTCCAAAGTAAACATGCTTTTAAAAAAGCACAAACAGTAAGTGAAACTTGGCTCTTAATGCCAAATATTTATTAATCATTACCTGACCCTCAGCAGGCCAGGTCAGAGAATCAGGCTGGTTATTGCAGTGGAATATGGAAAATTTATGAGAAACAGAAGGTAGTAGAAATTTTATGAACACAGAGGAAGAAATAGAAAGAAAGAAGGAAATGCAAGGAACTTTTAACTTAGAAAACCAGGGTCTCTCATGC